GAAGATCCCCCAGCACCAGCTTAGATTGTGACAACCACAGGGGAATGGGACAATGTAGAACAGCTACATTACAAGATCTCAGTGCATCTGCCCCTCTTTTACTGGATCAGTCTTCTTGAATAGCACATAAAAGCCCTATCTAGAGACCTCTCCTTCTTCTAACTAAACAGGAGAGTTCCTAGCAAAGGACAACAGGAGCATTGCAAACTTATCTGTCTTGAACTGAGAGAAGAAGTATTAGATGAGAAGAAACCAGCAAAAGAACTCTGGAAGCATGAAAGAAGAAGGTAGTTCAATACCCTCAAAGGATCACAATAGACCTATTGTACTGGACACCAACAGTAAGGAATTGTCAAAATGTCAGAAATGGAATTCAGAGTATGGATGGCAAATAAGATGAATGGGGTTGAAGAGAAAGTTGAAAGCCAACACAAAGAAGGTAAAAATATTTTTTCAGACATAAATGAAAAAAATGAAAAAGTTGCTAAAGAGGTAGACAACATAAGAAAGCATGTAGTAGAATTTAAAGAAATGAAAGAGTAACTTAGGGAACTTTAAAACACAGCATAAAGCATCAACAACAGGCTGGAATGAGCAGAAGAAATAATCTTGGAGCTTGAATACAAGAATTTTGAACTAACACAGACAGTCAAAGATGCAGGAAAAAGAAGAAAGAAAATTCGAAGACTGAACAATCAATCACTCAGAGAAATATCTGACTAAAGTGAGGCAATATATGAATTATAGGTAGATCTAAGAAGAAGAAAAAGCGGGAGAAAAAAACATGGAAAATCTATTAAAGGCAGTTCTGGAGGAAAATTTCCCTTGTATTTCCAGAGATTCAGATATCCACATGTAAAATGGTCATTGAATGCTGGAAGACTTATAGAAAATAGGACATTTCCAAGACACTTAGTCATCAACCTGGCCGAAGTCAAACTGAAGGAGAAAATTTTACAAGCTGCAAGTTGAAAGTAATAGCTAACTTGCAAAGGAAATCCCATGAGGGTAACAACAGACTTCTTAGCTGAGATCTTATAAGCCCAAAAGGATCGGGGTCCCATTATTAATCTTCTTAAACAGAACAATTACAAGCCAAGGGTTTTGTATCCTGAAAAACTAAGTTCCATAAATGATGGTTCCATAAATAAAGTCTTTTCCAGGCAAACAAACACTAAGGGAATTTGTCACTACTATACCTGCCCTACAAGAAATGCTCAGTAGTACAATATACATGAAACAGCACGATAAATACCCACCAGTGTAAAAATGCCCCAAAATCAAAGCTCTTTACTCTTGTAAAACAATAGCACAAGAGGAAAAACAAAACAACAAGGTATCATTCAACATGATGAACAGAGCAGTATCCCATATATCCATAGTAACACTAAATCTGAATGGTCTTAATGTTCCAATTAAAAGACATAGACTGGCTGAATGGATGAAAAAATATTGCCCAAGTATATGCTATCTCCACAAAACCCAATTCACAAGGACATGCACAGACTCAAGGTAAAAGGATGGAAAAAAATATTCAAAGCAAATGGAAACCAAAAGTGAGCTTGTGTAGTCATTCTCGTATCAGATACAATCGACTTTAAATAAACAATGGTAAAAAAAAAAAAAAGAGACAAAGATGGTCATTATATATTGATAAAGGGGTCAATTCAACAAGAAGACATAACGATTCTGACTATATACCCACTTAAGACAGGAGCTCCAAGATTCATAAAACAAATTCTACTATATCTAAGCAAAGAAATAAACAGTAGCAAATCATATCACCAAGACTTCAACTCCCCCACTGATAAAACTGGACAGATCATCAAAGCAGAAAATCAACAAAGAAATACTAGACCTAAATGGAACTCTAGAACAAATGGACCTAACAGACATATACAGAACACTCTACCCAAAAACTACAGAACATACATTCTTCTCATAAGGACACAGGACATTTTCTAAGGCTGATCATATCCTAGGCCATAAAGCAAGTCTTAGAAAATTCAGAAAAATTGAAATCATGTCATGTATATTTCCAGACCACAGTGGAATAAAACTAAAAACCAATTCCACGAGAAACTCTCAAATCCACACAAAGTCATGGAAATTAAACAAGCTGCTACTGAACAATCCTCGAGTCACTGATGAAATTAAGATGGAAATCAAAGACTCTTTGAATTGAATGGCAAAGGGGACACAAGCTTTCAAAATTTATGGAATATGGCAAAGGCAGTGCTAAGGAGAAAATCTATATCCTTAAATGTTTACATCGAAAAGACAGAACACGAATTTCTAGTTCAGATCTTAAGGAACTATAAAAAGAAAATCAAACCACACCCAAAGCTGGGAGAAGAAAAGAAAAACAAAGCTCTGCATAGAAATAAATGAAATGGAAACTCAAAAAACAATACAAAGGATCAATGAAATAAAAAGTTAATTCTTTGAAATGATAAATAGTATAAATAGGACACTAGCCAGATTAACCAGAAATTGAAGAGAAAGGACTCATCATCTATATAAAATGATGAAAAAAGAGACATTACAACTGATACTACAGAAATACAAAATATTGTTCATTAATACTACAAAATGTTCTATGTACACAAACTTGAAAACCTAGAAGAAATGGAAACATTCCTGGAAACACACAAATTCCTAGTCCTGATTCAAGAAGAAACAGAAATCCTGAACAGACCAATAACTAGCAGTGAGATTGAGGCAATCATAAAAATCTCCCAACCAAAAAAATCCCAGAGAAGACAGATTTACAGTTGAATTCCACCAAACCTACAAAGGAGAACTGATTCCAATCCTACAGAAATTACTCCATAACATCGAGAAAGAGGGATCCTACCTAATTCATTCTGCAAAGCTAGTATCACCTTGATACCAAAACCAGGAAAGGATACAACAAAAAAATACAAATCAATATTCCTTATGAACATTAATGCAAAAATTCTTAACAATTCCAGCAATCTCAGTGCTGGGCATCTACCCAAAGGAAAAGAAATCATTTTATCAAGAAGACACCTGCACTTGAATGTTTATGGCAACACAATTCACAATTGCAAATATATGGAATCAACCTAAGTGCCCATCAGTCCTGGAGTGGGTAAAGAAAATGTGATGTTCTCTCTCTCTCTCTCTCTCTCTCTCTCTCTCTCTCTCTCTCACACACACACACACACACACACATCATGGAATACTATTCAGCCATAAAAAGGAATGAAATACTTAGTGAAGTATCGGGAATGGACAAAGAAACACCACATGTTCTCACAAATAAGTGGGAGCTAAATTATGTGTGCACAAGGGCACAAAGAGATGTAAAGGACATTAAAAACTGAGAAGCAGGGAGGTTGAAAGGAGTAGAGGGATACAAACTTACCTATTGGGTATAATGGACACTGTCCTGGTGGCAGGCACACTGAAAGTCCTGACTTCAGCATTATAGAGTGTATACATGTAACAAAAACTTATGTACCCCCTTAATATTTTGAAATTTTAAAAAAAGGAGAAAAATCATGAAATAATCTCAATAACTGGTCATTAAATGAAATCTGTTCTAAGGAGACTTAAGTGAATTAGTTCTCTCTCTTCTCTGTGTGTCATTGAATTAGGTAGAAATTCTCCTTTCATTTTGATGTGTATGTGTGTGAATGCATGTGTGCTTGCATCTGTTCTGAGGTAGCTGGTAAATTAACCCACTGACATATTTACATTTTTCTAGTTATGTTTACACATTTAAATGGGTTGCTTGAGATCTCAACCCTGGTGTTTCCCTTGTTAAGAAGCTCAAGTACTCTTTACTGAACTACAGGGAAAACATTCTATGCTTTGACTATGGTTGGAAGTTTGCAAGCCAGTAGACATGTCTTTTACAAGCAATAAAATGAAGCTGTCAGCCATTGCAAATGGACCAAGATAGAGGTCATATGACTAAAGCACCCTGTACCAAGCGGTCTCTGATGTATTTTATTCCAGTTTCAATCTATTAATCACAGGAGTTGGGAGAGCAATAATTTAAATGCTGCAATAATCAATTCCATAACACATTAATAGAAGCTACAGTCAAACTTTGCCACACCACTGACTGCATTGGAATCTCGACAGAAGCCCTAGAGCCATGCCTAATTTGCATTAAATTTACATAAAATTGTAAATCAAGAATACATGAACACAGCCCTAATATTTGTTAGTGCTTAGATCTTTCCTGAAAGATCTTTGCTTGCAATAAAATTGTGCAGCTGATCAACTTTGTTATCCTTCTGCAATCATGGGGAAAGAAACCCAAGAGTACTATAGTTTCAGAGCATGTGTATGCCATTTAGGGTTTTCATCCTATAAAACCATGATTGAGATGTGTCTTTGGTAACCTTAATATAGAAACACATTTTCCCAATGACTTTGCAGATCCTTGTCATTAGTTTTTCGCACAAGTAACTTGTCATTAAGTGGAGACACAAACAACACATAAAGCTGGACAGCAGAGAAGATATCAAGTCATCTGAGAATTTTTATTTTTCCAAAGACGTTTGCTATCATAAATCAGATAGCTAGTGATAAAACAGATAATTAGTGATAGTCTTCAGGGTGAAAAGAGATAAAACCAAACTTTCTCAGATTCAGCAAAGCATCCCATATCTCATAGGGTAGATAAGTGGACTTCATATGGTTCTAAGCATTCTGTGTGCTCCTGTATCCTCATTTTACCTTGTTCCAATAATTGTGGATTTTGCTGTGTGTTTTCACCCTCAGGGATAGGAGAAAATATTTTCACCATGGTCCAGCTCATAGCAACAAGGCTACTCTCTCCATATTCTCCCTAGCCCACTCATTTTAAGTCTATCTTTCTTTGAAGAAAATAGATGCTTAAATACAATAATATATTTGAAAGCAGTTTTTTCAGAAAAGATTTTTCAAATGTTTTGTACATCATAATTAATCTCTGCCTCCCACCTCTTCCTTACCACCCATCTATCTGGCCCTTTTCTTACCTTGCACAATCAAGTAAACTTGGGAGGTCTTGGGCTCATGCTGTGTCTGAACCGAGCAAGTGTAGGAACCCTCATCATAAACATCCACCTTCTGGATTCGGAGGCTATATTCCAGAGAATGACGTTTCTCCAGCTCAACCCGGGGGTCCAGAGACCACTTGTCATGTCCAGCGAAAATGATGCCAGAACGGTTCAACCAGGCCACTTTCGAGTTCTTGTCTTCTACAACGCACCTGGCAAAGCAGAGTAACAATGTAAGTAAGTGCCTTAACCACAACTGTTTCTGATCTCCTTCTCTATATGACCAGATTCAACAAGACCAAACAAAAAGATAATTACATGCAGAATGAGTCATTGCCATACCATTTCTTGGAGTCCTAAGTATTTTCACTATTTCCTTTAAGATCTAATTATCATCCAATGGATGGATGTCATTATATTAGACTCCATTCAGCAATAAACATTCTGAGTGTGAGTAATGAAGGCAAATAAAGTTAAATTAGTATTGATTCTCCACTGAATTATCTTTTTCTTGTTTAGGAAAAGGCCATTCACAGAGAACTCCATCTGTTTAAGTAATTTTGAGGATATACAGTTGATATTGTGACATTTTTATGCCAGCTTGAACTGTTTATTCTAAATATTGCCTATAGTCTCGTGTGATGTAGATTCAAGTTATGCTCCATTGCTTTAGTAATTAGACTAGTTTGCTTCCATCCTTTATGAGTTTGGAATGCCCACTTCTAGAAATGAAAACTGTGTGAGCAGGTCCAAGAGAAAGTAGACAGGTATAGTGTCAAGGAAATCAAAGCAAATATCAGCTGGCATAAGTATAGTTCCAGCTACTAAAGGCAGCAGGTTGTTTGGTGGCAAAATATGTTGTTACCAGCATTTCTGGTCACACCAAATGAGTGCAATCTTTTATGGAAGATGAAGAAACTAATTTTTTAGTTTATATTCCAAGAAAGGTAAAGGAAAAATGACTACTTTGTTTTAGAAACCTAAAAGGGTCTCTTTCTGAAACATGGAAGAAAGAGGCAAAGAACATGCATTATTGGAGAAGGAGTAAATGCATCCTGGTAAGTATGGTTTTCTTCTTCAATTCCAGCAAGAATCTGGCAATAGAAAGATCAAGCAAAAAGAAACTTCTCTCTGTATCCCTTAGGCAAGATTTACGCCTACCACACAGGGAGACTGTTCTGTACCCTGTTTGCAGCTGCAGAGTCAGCTGTTCGAAACTCTGGGGCATGAGGGAACAGACAGAAAGAGCCAGGAACACAGCAGCAGAACAGTTGAAACACCAGGTGTCCCTGTATTTTCTAAACTAAGTCAAATCCAAGTTTTCTCTGAGGTCAAAACAGCTGGGCATAGAGATTCAACACCTACACACAGACAGAAAATTGATGCATAATCCACAGGCTGTCCCACCTAGAGATATAGAGGCCAACTGGTATCTCTCATAAGAAAAAAGCTGCCTTTTTAAATGCCTCATCTATAGTACAAAGATCTCTTTATCCCATTATTCTTAGGAGAAGTATATAAATCATTTAGAATGTGAATTTGATTTAATCAGTTGGGTGCCAAGATACACAGGTTTTACTTTTCTTCTTTGCCTGTTTGTTTTCATAAACATAACTAGATTTAGGTATCATTTGGTATCCCCAATTCTCAGTATGTGTTTCTCTGCCATCTAGATACTATTGGGAATAATTTCACATGTTTGATAATTTAGAGCTCCTCTACGGGGAGCACAAAGCTAACTTCCTAGATCCTTAATGCCTCTTTCTAGAGTCTATTTTACTTTCACTGTTTTGTGCTTTTCTGACATTTCTCTACCCTTGGTGTTATTCACAGCACCTGTCAATTTAGAATCGTTGATGCATTAATTCATAGGCCGTTTGCTGTCTTATTCTAGATCATTAATGAAATTATTGAATGTAGATTTATTGTTTTTCTATATCACTGGGGATAGAAATTTACCTGCATAAATGTATTCTAAATCTTCTATCATATTTCCCTTTGCATTTTTCTCACCTGCACAGCATAACACAACAATGACCAGATTTGCTACATCACAGACATTTATTCTAAATGTCTTTTAGTTCAGAATTTGCCACCAATCTGTCCAATTTTGAAAAAAAAAAACTTTATGTTTTACATAAATATGGCTTGTAAATGAAATAAAGACAGAGATGTTGCCTTATTCATTTAGATACTACCAAAAGCTAATCTCAGATAAAATAGGCACTTGGTAAATCCCTGTCTTGCAAACCAATGGGAACACACATGCAGACATGTGGTTACCTATATTCTACATCCCCATCCCAAGTCCTATAGCATCTCTACAAATAAATCATGCAAATTTCCTTAACAATGCAAGGTAGAGTTTCTCAGTCATGTCTTTAGGGTATTCTGGCATTTTAGCAATTTTTAAATTGCTAAAATTTTAAAAGCTAAGATCATACAGATCATTATTCCAAATCATTCTCTAAGCATGTTCAGATCTATCTTACCTAATAAAGTACTTGACTATTTTAGTAAAATTGCCAGACCCATAAAAGTGCATGTACTGAAATAATACATTATGTGAAAATTTTGTTACGACAAGCTACACATCTTCTTTTCATTTTGGGTTTTATCCATATCTATTTTTTAAATTTATCTTTTACTTACAAACAAGGGAAAAGTATATTAGGATGCACACACACTTTTTATTGACTCAGCCAAAGTGCCAGAGCATAATACAGTATAGTGTTTTTAAAAAGGAAATCACATCTTCAAATCTTTGAGAGTACTTTTTTATGTAGTCAGTAGTTTCAGAGTAAATGTGTTGGCCCTATAAACTGGAAAATAATCCTTCTACATTGTGACTAAAACTTTCCAAATAAAAAATGAGCAAAGGAATAATGTAATTGAAGAACATAATTCATTTTTTATTCTTAAAATTTTGATTTAAGGTCACAACTCTTTTTAACCATAAGAAGAACATATTTAAAAAGAGATAGTAGAAGCCAAAATAATAGTCTCAATTTGTAGATCTCTATGTTTACTAAGTGAAAATAACCAGTCACATGGGTAATCACAAACCACCTGGCTATACAGAAATGAGAAATGTTGATATAAATGCAGACCTAGGTTACTAGCATTCACTGATTCATCAATAATAATCATGGACTTGAACCTACGAAGTAAGTTGTCTAACTGTGAATTAGGCAGGGCTATGGAGTAAATGAGAATTTTGGGGCCATAACATCCTAATATATAATAGCAAATTAGCACCCACCTGGAACGATGCTTCAGAACAGGACAGTTTAGTTCTAAATTGTACACCTAATGACTATCTCCACAATCAACCTTGGCTAAACCAAGAAAAGTGTGAAGAGATGTATTTTAAAAATCCATTTCTGTTATGTGTTGTTTGAGTTAATAGAATGTTGCCTGGAGAAGCTCATGATGTTGCAAATAATTCCCAGGTTTAGAAGGGACAAGACCCTAAAGAAAGTGGGTGTTAGTACCATGAGGAGAGGGTCCTTCCACTTTAGGTGGAAATTCTTGTAGGCAGCTAAGAACATGGGGCTATGGTACAGAGTGCTACCTCTCCAAGAAATCTTTTCTCATCACTGTGCCATCCTTGTATGACCTTTTTAAGACCTCCTTCTTATGACCTCATCATACTCCACATTGCATTAGAGTTATTTGCACTCATCTTTTCTCATAAGCTTATTAAGACAGTAACCTTCTGGAGCCCTCACCGAGGGCAACATAAACACAATCTACACAATAGATACTCATTGAAATGTGGAATAAATAAACTTTAACTTAACAAATTGCTATTAGGCCAATTATCAAATATTTATTAATTAATAGATACTGTAAAGAGAATTATTGAGTGTGTTATGAAAATGAAGGTGAAGGAGAGAATAAATGTGCTCCTTGTTTCCACTATGAAGAAAGGTCATCCCTGGGAATAATCTACATTACATGAGAAAAACTATAGAAAAGGTATAAAGGACTAAACAAATGCTTAGTAGCTCACTCAATTTAACCATGAACCTTTGAATATCAGTTGGGTTACCTACCTTAACTATAAACCTATGATATTTTAATCAGCTATAAAAAATAACAGGAAAGGCAAGCAAACAAATTTTTATCTTCCCTGTTGAGTATATTTGATTCCATAAAACTGTCACAAAAAATCAATGTACCCATAAAAATCTCAAGCACTGGTTCTTTGCAAACACTTTTCACCAAGTATAGTATGCACACTTATACAAACAGTTACATTGACAATTCCACTCACATTGCATGAGGCTGGGGATTATGCTTCTGAAGTGATGAGTATAATTGAAGGTAGAAAAGAAATGCTAAATTCAGTTTGTACCAACAGATTACTTAATAGCATATTTACAGACAGGAAATCCATGATATAAGTGATACGTATCTACCAGATAATAAGACTGTTCAATTGCTACTGGACACATCTCTTCATATTTAAAAAGCATTACTGGCTGCTGAAAACATACCAACTTAGCATTCAAATTTATCCAGATTTAGCTTTATATAAATTTCCTCTAGTTCTCAAGAGTATAATCTGGTATTTACTCACTGATAACAAATAAATACATTTTATATAATCTCTCACAAGTTATCTATACTCATACTTTTTCTATTTGTAGGTCTAGGTGCAGTGCAACTAGATGGGTAGGAGACACTTATTTGCTTCTTAAATTAAGAAAGGACATTAGATGTGTGGTCCTCAAATGGGGAAAATCTGTGCTCCCAAATGACATTGGCAAAGTCTGGATACATTTTTTGGTCTGGAGAGGAGGGTGTTGGTACTGGCATCTAGTGGGAAGAGGCCAGGGGTGTTGCTCAATGTCCTACAAACACCAAGACATCCCCCATAACAAAGAAGTATCCCATCCAAAATCTCCATAGCGCCAAGTTTGAAAATCCCTGAGTTAGACCTCTGTGTCTCTTGGTTTAAATATCCAGAAGCACAGGGCACACATCTATAGAGCAATGGTATTTTATTCATAAGCATATACTTCATAAATTACAGGCACTTAATTGTCACTAACAACATCTCTGAACTATAAGTCAAGTTCACAGCAAAGACACTACAGAGAAGCCTAGTGAGCCTGTGGTTATAAGGTAGCAGATAATGAATAATGTCCCCTTTGTTGTTTTATTTTACTATCATGATTATACAATGATATAATTTTATACACTG